CAGCTTTTTGGAAAGGACTTTTTTTTAACTTTGTTTAAACCAGCGTTAGAAGTCAAAATCCCAAAGACAGTCTCAGCTTTTAAAGCCAGGACTTACCTTCATATCTTACTTTTCATCTTTCCTCTGAGTGGTAAGTTCAACAGAAAAAGGGACTGAAGATGCAGACCTCCTGCCAGCTCATGTCCCTAAAGATACTGTCTGCTTTCAGGTTTGTTTGCTAATCTGGGCAACAAATGGTCATGCATTTAATGTCGACCATTGAGAATTAAACTAGTCCACATATGATAATATATTTTCCCTGGTGTAAATGATACTTTTTTTTTTTTTTTTTTTTTAGCGCTATGGTTGTCTACCCTTCTGCCAGCCCTCTCAGCACACCATCTCCCACAGTGCCCACCTGGAGCCAAGGCTCACCAAACTGCCTCTGGTCCACCTAGCTCTGTGCAAGTAACCCAGGCAGGAACTCCCAAGAAAGAGTGCATAGGGATGTGCAGTAAAGCATAATTCAGTATCTCTTGCTATTATTTTTCTTTCCTTCATCCTGCCTGCATTTTCAGAGCCATCCAGATACGAAAATACATGCCTCCTGTTTGGGAGCTGTATTGAATTTTCATGTAAAGTCACAAATATATTTTGCACCGTTAGGAAGTTACACCTTATGCACTTTCAGAAAATGCTCTGTCCTTTTCAATCAAGGTGTTAATTCTTTAAAATGAGGAGTTTCTTTTTTTTTCCTTTTTCAAACAACAGGGGCTTTTTTAGAAACATGATTTTGTGAATACCTGCTGGCCTATTCATTGTCAAACAGGCCAAAACTCACTCCATTTCTGATGGCTTAACATTCATATGAATAATTCATTAATTGCCACTGCTACTAAAATGATATTATGAGAATATCTGCTGTATTCTAGCTCTCCTTCAATAAAACTGAGCAGCTGAAAAAGAGGAAGATAAACTGAAATAGCCATAATGGATATCTAGTTAAATTTGTTCTTGGACAATTGTTCATTCAAGACACTCTGAATTTGTCTGGAGTTATTATGCTGACCTTTGATTGAGCTACAATTCAGAAACTCGGAATACATTTCAGAAATTCACCTGCAAGTCACTTGAACTTAAAAGTAACTTGTCGAACACAAAGTCCAAACTTTGACTACATGTGGGGAAGCAGTCCAAGATAGAGACACTTGATACTTAAGTAAGACAAAATAAACCTTTTCTAGAAGTGCAGAAAGTGTGGTACTAACCCAAGTCAGATTAAAACGTTGAATCACACGTACTCAGGCATGATTACAAGTTCCCCTCAGAATAAAACACAAAGAATTATTTCTTATTCCTATTTATGCAAAGGAGACAGAGTTCCCATTAACTTCAGAGGAGCCAGGATTCACTGCCAAATGAAACCAGAGATTTCCAATTTGGGGACATACTGTATTCTGTCATATTCTCAAAAAGATTTTGTTTTGGATCTGCAGGTACGTAGCCCATAATTATTAAATTTTTCTACGGAAAGGAATTAGTAGATGGATGCAGATGATGTGAATTGTTCAGCACTTGCTTTTTGAAGGACTGCTTTGGGGAAATTAGTCCCAATAATTTATTATTTTCAGACTGCAGAATGTTTCATTCCATAAGTATAATGCAGTATAACCCAGGTGTTACAATTTGCTATCCTTTCAAATTCTACTGCAATTTTTAGAATTACTCCTTTTCAACCTGAAGGCGTAATAAAATGAAATTGGAAGAAGAGAAGGGTTGCTATCTAGAAAGACACAAGAGATTTGAAGTGTTAACAGAACAAATTAACAAATTAATACTAACTTCTCAAATCTCAATGAAAAAGAAATCTCTTCATATTCAAAGGTATTATTATTTAATTTTAACATGAGTCTTCTTGTTTCCCCAAGAAACCGGCAGAATTAGTAACAATAACTAATCATTCACAGTCAATAATAGATTCTTTACTTTTAACAGAAATGTATTGACTTAATTGAAGAACTTGGAGAAAGATGGAAAAGGAAGTATGATAAAGATCATCGCTAAAATAAAGTTGATGGGTAAAATCCCTCCTGCACTCACATCAAAGGCAAGAATTGCACAATCACACAAGCGAAGTATAAATTTCCAGTTTTGTCCCATCCAGCAGATATAAAACCAGATCAATGCTGCTTTTCCACATATTACTATGATTTACCTGAAAGAGTTCTGTCAATTTGTCCAAACTATAACTTGAAATTTTTATTCTATTTCACAAAATTAATGGCCTTAACAGTAAATTTATTTTGATAATACACGTAAAATGAATATGGCTTAATGAAATTCTAGTCAGCGTGTTTCTTGACCAAGTTCTTCTAAGAACAAGATTGTCTAACTTGAATAACGACAGAGGCACTAAAAGTCTAATTTTAAAATGAGAGAAAACAAGTATTAATACTTCTTTTTTATAGCTTTCCTTCATTTCCAGTGTTCTGGCATGCCAGCGAAGACTCCACTCAAATTCAAATATTATATCTATTTATTCGTTCTATTCTGATAAAAATAACATAATTGCACCATTGTAATAAGCTATGTGAAAAAAGATGGGAATCAAGCTATAATTAGCAACAAGTCAAGTCCCTAAAAATTTATCCTATAGCAACATATATGTTTGAAGTAATGATATGCTAATGACAGCTATTTAGAAGTCAGCATATCCCCAGGAATAACCCTTACTTACGCATAGCAAGAGCAGTAAGAGAAGCTGCTAGAGGGTAAGCATCCTAAGTAATGCTCCGTCCCCCACAGGGGTGGTAGCAACATCTATGTTAGCCACAGATTAGAGAGGTGAGAAATAATTAGCACTTTGCAATTCTGGCATCTGCACTGTCCAAATTCTCTTCATGCTTTCAGTTAGCAGCTTGATTTTCTGTCGGGGTCGATCTGTCTGTCTGCCTCTCTCTCATCCATTAGAGTTTGTGGATGAGGGAGAAATGGTATTTTATCTTCCTGATTTCTGGCATTTGGGGGAAAGCACCATCAGTCAAGGGAATTGCTAGTGAAAAATATTGTTTCTGGTTCATGAGTTTAAGTAAGTATTTGCTTCTTCCCTTTATTCACAGTTTACAAAATCCTTGCCTCTCATCTTTGCTGAGTAAATTCAAACAAACCTCAATTTGTAGTGTGGTTCACAGTTGGTTTTGTCTAGATTGCACTGACCAGCCATGCAAAGCTTTACAATTTTAAGAGAGTAAAGGAAGTTTTATGCTATGAAGTCAACACGAACCATTTGCATCTTCCCCATATATTGCCTTCAATGCACACTCTACATAAAACTAAAGTCAGGTAGCAGATTTTAACAAAGCACAATTCAGACTAACCGTGTTTTTTGCTAGTTGTGCATGGTAGTTGTCACCAGTTGTGCTTTAAAACTGTTGACAAAACCAAATGGCTTTTGTGCGCTCACGTGAGGCAGTGCATGAGGACTGCAGTGAGGAGACTGAAGCGCCATGTGCTGTGTGCCGAACTTTAAATGTCTGCCTTCTGTTTTTATTATTAATATAGAATCCTATCCGCATAACTAGTGACTTTTTCGTATTTTTTGCAAGTTGCTAAATATTCATGCTACAGTGACTAGAAAGAAGTATGCTCTCTGGCAAGCTAATTGAAACAACTAGGGATGAAATCAGAGGAACAGAGTGGTGAGAGAGAGAAGAAGAAATACCAAAAAAAGTCCAAGACTCTAATCTGAATTTCTTTTGCTAGACAACATCCACAGATAATTTTTGTCAACAGAAAATTATACTGAATCAATTAATATGAGCATCAGGCAAACGACAAGGATCAGCCACTGCCACCATGATGCTATTTTGATGAACGTGCAATTAAAGTATAAAAAAAATCCACCCTACTGCTTTGTCTTTTCTGTGCACTCGTTCTTATTTGGTTGGGGATTTTTTTTGTTTTGTAAATAGTATTACAGAAGTTCTGTAGTGCACTAAGAGCTGGAACAGAATGGACGCCCTGACAGATAACAGCTTTTAAAGACCCATAAAATAATGGGAGGGGTACAAAACTGCTCTGTCTGTAGCACTGACATGCTCTGGTGGTTTCACTTTCCACCCCTGACTGAGCCTTTTCCTTCATCTTGCAGTATCAGCAATGCAAACCATGGAAACCACTCTTGCCTTGTTCTTTATAAGCAAGCAGTCAGGCCCTCAACCACCAAATTGGTAATGAAAAATATGAGTAGATGGTAGAGAGAGGGAAGTAGCTCCATATAACCTTGACAGTACTGCAGCCCTGGGTCAACTTTGTGTTTGGGCATCAGTTCAAAGAGGCCTATACATCTCATATTCATTTCTTTTTCTTTATTTCTTTTTTTCCACTCGAACAACTTCTGCTTAAGCAGCCAAAGTTTATGACAGGGAATACACTGACCTCATATCATAAAATACCTTCCTATTCTGGTAGACATTGTCTGTTCAGCTTTAAACCACCAACTTTGCTGCAACTGCTTAACGCAAGGTGTCTACACGGAGGAAGAACCTGGCAAAAGAAAAGCTAGGAGGGGACAGTAGATGTTTTACTGAACTAATGTTACTCACCCTAAGCTGACCTCAAATATTTCCCGAGTGCGGCAATTTGTGTCAGACTGCACTCAATTTGGGAAGGTAATTGGAAGGCAGCTACACCTTATGAATCACTTAGAGTTTCAGCTAGGTAACTTTAGCTACCAGGGCTCTTGAAGTTGCCCTTGATCAGTTCATATAGTTGTGTCATCTAATTTAGTATGTGTCTGTGGAAGAAATGGGTTTCAACATATTTGATTCTCTCTGAAAGGAACTGTACCGATAAATAAGTTTATTTTGTGGAAATTGCTCCATTGCTCTGGTATTGACAAGCTGAAATCAGACACTCAAACATTGACTAAATTCTTGGTAGAATGGTGTACTTAATAAAAAGACGAGGCAAGAGGAAGAAAATACATTCATGCTAGCGCAAAAGGATGAGGATCTGCTTACCAGCACAGTCACCACACGCAGAACCACTCCTCGCATGTTATTCTCCAACTTTCTGTCTGTTAGCGATCCATTCAGACCAGTGATAGGATTCCAGCAGCCGAGCTGAAAGAGAAAACAGGAATCATTTCCTCATAGCCCATAAAACTTTGCCAGTGATTCCTCTGAGACACCTTTAAGCAGGATTGTACAAAATAAACAGAACACCTTCTGGAATCAATGGGGCGAAAAATCAGGGAAGGGCTTGCGCACAGATTCATCTTTAAATTAAAAATGAAGCAATTAGGGATATCACTTTGTGCTTTTAAATACCAGTGAGGAATGGATGAGAGCATCCAGGGTTTGGGGAGATACATACTGCTTTAGAAGAGCTCAGGGAGGACTTCCATATTAATCAAACACATTTAAAAAGTAGTATGGCTGTAACAATACTTCTACCTGACTTTCAGTAATACACTAATTGAAGAAATAATAGCTACCATAATTTTAGCATGCTGTCTGCCCCAGCCCATCTTTCCTAGCAGAACTCTGATGAAATGAATTACCCTAGTTTTAATTAAAACTTGTACTATTCATTGATAATGAAACAGAAGTGATTTTTAACCAGGTTAAAAGTCACATTTAAAGATGACTGAGGAAAAGACGACTGAATAGGCACATCACAGTATTGAGAAAGGACTGCAATAGATAATGCAGAAAAAGGAATTCAGCTACAAGATGCTTTGCATTGGTGCGTTACCTGTCATAACGCAGCGAAATGTAGTGAATGTGTTTGAAGTGTGTGCACTGTACACTGTATGTGATAAACCACCGCCGTCCTATAAAACAAAGCATTTGATACCCTACATTCTATGTACTACAAATATTGAAAACAGCACCAAGTTCAGAACAAAAGTGCATTAAATTAATTCAGCAATTGTCATTCTTAGTCACATAAAAAAACTAATTAGAACTTAGATCCAATTAGCATATCCAAATGTGTTGGAAGTATAATTACCACAGGAACTGTACTACTTTTGCCAGATTTAAAACCCTAGGAAGTTACTAAAGATCCTTTGTATCCCTTTGAGGTTAAAGTCCATTTTTAATTATGTACATTAATGTCTACATATTTATATAATTAACTTTTTAGCCTGACCCATTCTACCTTTTTAAGGAAAAAAAAACAACATAATTGATTCCTGGAAATTTAGCATAACACTAATTTTCCTTTAAAAAGGCACATTTTCTTTTCAATTATTGTTCATTTAATTTTCAATTCAATTGTTCTTTTATGCAACACATCATGGTGAAGACAAATGTGCACTGCCTTGCCAATAAAGTTGAAATTGATTTTGAGTGGGAGCTGCTTACTGTTATTAGCTGAAAAATAATCAACATTTATTGATGACAATTTGAGCTTGTCATTGCAGCAAGGAGCAAATGTAACTATTGCTGAAACAGCAAGATGGAGTTGGTACGAAGCTGCCTCTCCAGCTCTACCTCTTGCTTAACTGCTTCTGCAAAATATTTCTTGCTTCTGCATTTACTTCCTTTTTCTTTTGTTCTGTCTCTGATAGTTGAAATGAGAGAATCGATCAGGCAATAACAGAATCTCACATTAATTCTGGTTGATTTGTGTAGAACCATATGGCTCTCTGTTAAGCACAGTACTTGTCATCTTCATATCGTATGAATTTTGCTGTTTACAGTGCTTGTACTTCCATTGCAGTTTCTTTTATTTATTCTAATGACAGCATTCACCTTGTCACATTCAGATATAAAATGATGAAGATGGAAAGTTGTCAACGTTGTTCTTCCTTTGCATCCAATTTACAATCTCTTTCTGATCATCCCACCTCCCAGCTTCTTAGCCCCTCTATCATCTTTTTAGAATGGGTTTTGCTCTCCTGTTTTGCTGGCAGAGCCAAAAATTGACCTCCTTTCTTCATAAGAAATTTTTGCCCACATGTACTATGCATTATGGAAGGTCTGTAATTTGTGTATCGGTGTTAAAATAGGCAAAATCTATTTTATGTATATCAATTTCCAGACAGTGATTTCTAAGGGACTTGGAACACTAAAATCTATCATGCCTTTACGACAGAGCTTATGCCAGATTTTCTTCCCTACTTCCTGTGAAATCAGTGAACTCTGCTGAGTGCTTTCACTTTTTTTCTGGCAGAGTAAAACGCAGATTAAAACTGTGTCAATTAATTGAGAAAAATACATTGGCCTGGTGTGATCACAGTTGAGGACAATCACAGAAAATAAGTAAAACCAGAACACTGATACGAATGCATTACTCAAGCACTTGTCACTACAGGAGAGTGTAGAATGTTCTGTGACTTTAATTAATATAGAAAATATATAGGAACTGCTTCATCCAGCACTACAATGCAACCACCTCTGAGCTCAGACTGCATCACAGCAACACTACGGAACAGTAAAGAGCAGAAAACACTTTAGAGAAGCTGCAAGGGAAACCTGAAAGATAAAACACTGTTACATCTGCAACTGGAACTGATCAAGACACCAGGATGGCTATCACTTTTCTTTATTTTCCTAGCATTTAAAGAAAAGAAAAAAAAAAAAAAAAGAAAAAAAGAACACAATTTTGGTAATACTACAGACACCCTGACAAAACATTTCCAGTGGAAATGCCCACCACAGAGCACTGCTGAGGAACTGCTCCAGTAGCAGCTCGTAAGAGAGCTGACCACCCACAGAAATACCAGCCTCCTCACCTGCAGTACCCACAAGTTCTTCAGAAACTCCCGATTCCATTTTCACCCAGGACCAACCTGCTTTAGGAACTGACTTTTTCCAAGATACGACTTCAACGGAAGAAATGCACGTTAATAACGCCCTTTTCCATTCCAAAGCATAGTCAATGTACATGGCTGGAAAACACAGCATGAAGCTGTCATGAAACAGCACTCAGGAGAGTCTAACTCTCAGGTGTGCTGGGAAGACTCAAAATGGGCTACACAACAAAAAATAACGAAGAAAAAGTTTGGGGTTTTGTTTGGTTGGGTTTTTTTTTTGTGATGTGTGGATTCAGCATTTACAAACTTTGCTAGGACACCAGTTTAGGCAAAATTCAAGCAGGACAACATAGAAATAGTTTTGCACAGAGTGTTTCTGCTGCTTCTTGTCAGCTGTTGTTTAATATGTCCAACGACAACTGGGAAATCAGAGACTCAATCCTATAGATGAAAGACTGTCTCACAGAAGAAATGCCACAGAAGACGTTTTGTTTGTCATCCTGGTACTTTCAGTTACGTAAAATTTAGTCAGACACTCTGTCACCTGGTTAAAGAGTCCTTTCAGTTCTGCTCTCTAGCCAACACCCAGCAGTTGGTCAACCAAATCTGCAAAAAGTCTGATGGTCAGGGTGAACCGAGGACCTTTGTACTCCTGGGCTTGATTAAAGAAACAAGGATCAGTTTTGTCCTTCACAGCCATTTCCTAATACAATTGGTTAGCAGGAAAGCTCTCTGTGTTTAACTTCTCCCTTCACTGGAGCTTGGGTAATAGTCAGCAAATAATAAGTTGTTAAAATCAATAGAAAATACTGTGTTCAACAAATTGGATAATGTATAGCAGCACTTGTTTCTCCTACATTCTGTGTGGTGAAACCTATATAGTTCTGTGCATTCAGTTAATTACTTTGTACGGTAAGTTTTATTGCTTTAATTTGTCTCTGGACTAGAAGGAATGACCTGCCCCTGGAATCTCTTTGTTATTTTCAAGCTGTGTTAGGAGAATGTGAATACCCGAGTTTAGTTTTACATCCAGTGGCTTATAATTGCAGCACTCAAGGTGGTCTATTTGTTTTATTAACTGATCACAGACACAAGTACGAGTGACCTAAGTAAGAATTTCTTTCCTCAAAGCCAAAGCATACGGCAGAATAACGCTGCACACAGTTAATAAAATGTTTTGCTTTGGGGGGACTGCCCACAATTCATTTTCTTATTGAATTGAAATGAAGAATCTAATGGAAAGTTTTCTGCAGGTAACCTGCTGGCTGTTTGTTTACCAGCTCTTGATTCAATATTTTCTTAAGGACTCGTGCACCCAGATTGGTGCTAGAAGTTATAATTGGACGTTTTAGACCACTGACAAATGTTGCATGTATGGGGAAAGCAGCACAGACTGCATAGCTCTTCTCTCACTGTGTGCTCCACTCGTGAAGCTCGTGCTTAGCGCTTAGGCTAAGCTTCCAGAGGAACTCTAATGGTAGAATTTTGGAAAGTATAGTAAATCACCACATCTCAAAGACAATGAACCCCCTCCCAAGCCAGTAGTGTCATTCTAATGGTTCCTCACTTTTTCCCCCCTTCATCTCTAGCTTACTTTCTCTATTACTACTTTCCCTTTCATTTGAAATTTGGTGGTTTTAATCTATCATTTCCCACTTCTAAGTGTTTTCTCTTTTATCTTTGGAAAACACCCTTTTTTCCTTCTCTAGTCCTCGGTGAATTCAGTACTCTCAGCGGTTCCCTAACCTGTGGTTATCTTGCTCTTTCCTATATTGCAGTGCCTCTTGCCATTTCTCTGTGTACTTTCAGTATACTTTCTTTCCTCTTTGCTTTTCTTTCCCTTGATCTTCCCTGCTGTTTCCTGTGCCTTCTTCCTCTCTGGCTTTTTTCATTTAGGGTTTGGGTTGGTAAAGGGACCTCACTTTTCACTTCATCCAGCTTTGACTCATCTTTCAAATCACTTTGGGTCCTTCCTCCTTTCTCTTTAGCCCTTGGATCTGCTTTTCTCTCAGGCAGTCCCCTCAGGAAACTTCCCCTCAACTCCTCTCTCTCCTCTTGTGTTACGAAGGAGATGGGACTTAACAAAATGCATTACTGTATAGCCCTGCTTCTCCTGCTTTCATCTTTCGGGTTTTTTTTCGCTCCTCTCCTCTGAAATCCTTATACAACTTTGAATAAAAGACGCAGATAAGGTTATTAATAAGCCAGATGGTGATCTCTTTCCCACTGCCTCCATACTCCAATTAAAGTCAAACACTCAGAAAATCCTGTTCTTTGACCCAATACAGACATCACCCCTTTGTCATTTGGTGACCTCACTGTGGATCGCTGTGCAGGAAAAGTTCCCTGCTTTTTCAG